ACAGCCCTTGCTGAGTTTCTTGCCGGTTCTTCTCAGTACAAGGTCTCCCGATGGCGTAGCTTCTTGACCTTCACAAGTGCTTGTAACAGCCTAGACTGAATAAGTGACTTTTCATTTCATTTCATGGACGCTCGTCTCCTCGTCCTCCAGGCAGGCTCTGCACAGAGGGCTGTCAGAGCTTCCCAAATATCAAATACAGCCTTAAAACGTGAAATTCAACAAAAACCCGTTGCGAAACCATCCATTATAACGTTCCCATTAAAAATTCTCAATAAATATTAATTATAGTTAGATCGTAAATCGTAATCAGATTGGAAACACCAAATTACAAGTTCGGACACAATAATTTGTCGATGTAATAAAAACTTCTTTTGTTCGAGACATGGTCAAGAGCGGTGGTTAGCGATGCCCTCGTTAACTGATCACCATCAATAAAATAACTGTAAGAATCAATTTTATCTAGCGGTTCAATCTATAAAGGTGCGTGTACATATAATGCGATTCAAATAAGAATAGGAAAGCCAATGACCTCTATTTGTCAAATGTCGCTTGAAAAGTAAGGTTTGCAAAAAAAAACTTGGAACCCTTTTTTAGCACTCCGCTAATTCAAGAATAAAAACCAAACATTTGTAAACAAATATTGATAATTAATATCGGTTGATATTTTTTCACTTATTGAGCTTTGGCCATGAATGATTGATAGATAACCTGAATCGTCAACCAAATGTCACTTTAAGTTGCATTCAAAAACTCGATTTCAAACATTCGTTTACATAAAGAATGTATGTTCGTATGTGACCTAGTAATAGTGTATGATTATTCATAACTACTCCGGCGGCAATGCAGAGATGAGCGGAAAAGAAGAGCTAGATTCTGATTAATGTTTTTTGTCACAGTCTTAATAAATAAATATCATTAAAAATCGGTGATATTTTTTTTCAATCTCAGTAAATAAATGTTATGACGACCTCCGTGGTCGAGTGGTTTGTACGCCGGGTTTCATGGTGTCGCCGACTCGAGAGGTCCCAGGTTCGAATCCCGGTGGGGGCAGATGTTTGTGTGATGAATACGAGCATTTGTACTCCAGTCATGGATGTTTAATATGTATTTCTATATAAATATACTTATATATGTACAGTATATGTATTCTATCCGTTACCCTAGCATCCCATAACACAAGCCTTACAGTGCTTACTTTGGGGCTAGGCTAATTGGTGTGAGTGTTGGACATATTTATTTATTATTATTAAAAAAATCAGATATTTTTTCTCACTTAAACTTAGTTAATAAGATTTATTAAATAATAACTTTTTTTTGCTCACTCTACCTATTTGGTTTGAATTGACAGCTATGACGTCAAAATATGGCGCCCAGTCGGTCCTATTCTTAGTTGAATCGCATTATAAAGAGAGTAGGATTCTCCGTTGGAATTGGAATGCTGTCTATTGGAGTAACACTTCTATTATTGTCTTCTGTATGGTACAGACATACAGAAGACAATGATAGAAGTGTTTAAATTTAAGAAAATATAACTAGAAAACCGCATTAGCAAACTGAAGTAGCAGTAGGCTGGTCACATTAGCCGCAGAACTGATGGCCGTTGGAGCCGGAAAGTTCTTGAGTGGAGACCACGACTCGGTAAACGTAGTGTGGGACGCCCTGAGACAAGATGGGATGATGATATTCGTAGGCTGGATGAGAGTAGCACAAAATCGGGAGCAGCGGCGTGCATTAGGGGAGACCTATGTCCAGCAGTGGACGAACATGGGTTGATGACGATGATGATGATGATAACTAGAAAAAATTCCACGTGGACCAGGCAGCGCATGGGACTTGATGGCGAAGAGTGCGGCCTTTCGCCATCCAAGCGAATGCCCTGAACATAATGCTACCGCGGCTCTGATGGCCGTGTCAAATTCTTTCTAGCCTTTCTTAAGCTACAAGGCAGCGCCATCTCTTCGCATTGTAGGTAACCGTTACATGTACGGGAGTTACCCTCAAATTTTTTTTTTTTAGAATTTTATGCTACAATTTTGTCAGTTTGATTGATATACACATCAAAATGCTGCTGCTCTCTAGTGCTTACAGTCTCCAAGCAAAACCGGGGACGGACAGACGTACATGACGATACTATAAGGGTCCCTTGTCAGGACTACGGAACCCGAAATTTAACTAAAGAACAAATAGTAAGATATTTTTAACTAAAAACCTTAAAATATATAATAACTAAAATACATTATTAAAAGGAGTCCCTTTAGGCAAGGTTCCGAAGATACTGGCAGCGTTCCCCCTTTGGATAGCTAGACTAATTCTTTGTCCGAGGTAGCTGCCAGCTCTTCGTTCTTCTGTGATTATGATGATGACCAACCTTTTATCTATTTCCTTAAAAAGCCTTACAGCGCTAGGACCCCACGGACCAAGGGTCTCGACAAAAATATTTAAACAAAATTTAAACCAGGTTTAAATTTAGTCAACATTTTGTATTCTATTTAAATAACAATCTTAAATGTTTATATGTTAACAAGTTAAGTATGATACGAGTAAAATTAATTCACATAAAAAAATGTATTTAGTTATATCCTATTCATCTAAATATTTATTCATCTTGATATGGAGTACGAAACTGCGCTTTCGGTTATGAAGCTGCACAAATTAATAATTGTAAGAGTAACATAGATTGGATCTTTTTATAAAGCAAATTAATTGGATCTTTTTCTAGTCAATAAAAAGAAACAGTGCGTACCTAAAGACTGAGTATATTAAAATAATGTTTATCACACATTTATAATATATAAAGGTGAAAGTTTGTGAGTGTGTGAGTGTGTATGCTTGTAACTTCTTCACGTCTTAACGGCTGGAGCTATTTTAATAAAATTTGGTATGGAGTTAGCTGATACTCCGGATTAACACATAGGCTACGTTTTACTAGTGGAAAGCATAGCTAAAAAGGCAGGGGTAACACCGCGGGGAACAGCTAGTGTATAACATATTTTTAAATTCGTGAAATGTAATAGGTACCGCGCCTTATATAAAAAAAACGAACACTCCGGGAGTGCCGGCAGAAGTGAAAACTTGAATATTAACGTTGTGCATTTTTGATATTTTGGAATGGTTAGGGAATAATTTTGCACGAATTGCTTTAATTATCAGTATAAAAGTACTATCATGTATATGGTAGAATACAATATTTATTTATTGCGCTATCGTACACAAACATGACATTTTATATTACATTAAAAAAGTTTATCTCTCAAAAATCAATTCACACTACAGCCATTCCAACTTCAATATTTTTTAAAGTTCGCAGTCAAAAAAAAGTTAAAAGTTTCTTTAATGGTCAATTTTGTTGTTACCATTAGCAGGTCAAATCCCGGGAATAATTTCCTCCTACTTGACAACGATCGTGTGATGAGCGCGATGCGATCTCATTGTGCAATGAAAAATAATATATCTGTGCTCTTACGACGGCTTACGAGAGGCTTACTTGTATTAGGACACCTCTGAAGAAATCTGCGTGTTAGAAAATAATCGTACGATTAGAACGCATCGTGTGATAGTACGATCGTTTCCTATCAGGCCTAAAATTTGGAAGCAAGAGATAATATTATTATACGCATAACTCACTAGCACACACACATACACCAGTGTTGCCAGGTCTCATGATTTTACAGGAGATCTCCTGTTTTTATGAAATTTCTCCTGTTCTACTGTTTTTCTACATGAATCTCCTGTTTTTTTAGAATACGATTTTCTTTTTCAAATTGCATGTTGAGTTGCATTTTTCGTCATTAATAATGTAGATAACCTTAATAATTATAAAATAAATGTAATTGTCTAAAGAAAAAATAGCTTTGAGGGGCGGCAAGAAGCCACAGAAACACATTCGTTACTGGTCTTTATCTTGATTTGATTTACCGATTCAGGGGGGGGGGGGGGGGTGCAAATCGGAAAAAGTACACTTCTGCATGTACTGTTTTTTTCTATAACGCCTCCCGATTTTTGAAAATCGGACCTGGCAACACTGATATACACACACACACCACTCACACACACATACACACACACACACATTTTCTGAATATATATGTCAGTTTCTTGCCTTTTCTATTTAATTTTGAATGTAACGGATTTAGGATGCGATATGTGCTAAGGGGATTGGCGCTGTATGCCGTAATACAGACATTTTGCCTAGCTCGGCAGCAGATAAATATGTAGTTATATTATAGATATTAGTACTGTTTTAGCCTTATAAGTTAAATTGTAAATCAACTCTTCCTGGAAATAAATTATTATCATTATCTATACTTATAATAAATCTGTAGAGAGGTCAATTCCGTACATGAAATATATTTTCAAAATAACTATCAGGGGGTGATTAGTGATCGATACTGATGCCAAAAATGCAATCAGTAAACTTTTTGTCTGTCTGTCTGTCTGTGTGTATGTTCCTTATAGAAACAAAAACTACTCGACGGATTTTAACCAAACTTGGTACAATTATTCTTCATACTCCTGGGCAGGTTAAAGTATACTTTTCATCACGCTACAATCAATAGCAGCAGCGTAGTGAAGGGAAATGTTGGGAAAACGGGAGAAGTTACTCCATTTTTTAAGCTTCCGTCGCGTGTGCAGCCTTAATGGTTAAAGTTACATAGAAATCATGTATGACGAAAATATTCTACATAAAATTGTCTAAAAAATATCCCGCAACAGCATATGTCTATCTTTTATGGTTGACTCACAATAACACGTGTAATTATATAAATAAAGTCATTGTTTATAGCACAAGCCTGAGAACAAAAACTATAGTTTACACTACAGCTCTACACCGAAGCGAAGCGAGGGCGGGCCACTAGTTATTAATATTTCATAGTTGTGTTAGTGATATCAGTACTGTTTTAGCCTTAAAAGTGAAATTGCCAATCAACTCCTACTGGAAATAAATTATTATCATTATTATTAATATTTCCTTACTGATCAACAAATTTCGCTGTCTCCAGGTGCAGCTCAGATCCCTGGGTATAACATCCCCACCATCATCCGGGTGGACCGCAACTGGTTCGTGATGCCCACTGACCCGGTGGGGTCGGTAGTGACCCGCGTGCACCGCGAGCGGACCTGGAACCAGAACGTGACCTTCGGCCTGGAGACCTCGGGCCCGCCGGTGCCGTTCACCATCAACCCTCACAACGGAGTCGTCACTGTCAACGACACGCTTCAAGACAAGGTACAATTTGTTTTTTTAAGACGGCTCACCTGATGGTAAGTGATTACCGTCGCCCATGGACACTTGCAACACCAGGAGTATCACAAATGCGATGCCGACCTTTAAGGAAGGAGTACGCTCTTTTTTTGAAGGTATTTGGGTCGTATTGGTCCGGAAACACTGCTGGTGACAATATATTCCACAGTTTTGTCGTACGTGGTAAAAAATTTCGACAAAAACGAACGGTTGTGGATAGCCACGCATCAAGATGATGGGGATGAAATTTTTGTCGCGATGTACGATGGCAAAATTTATAACACATTTGCTCGTAAAGCGTCTTTTACTGCACCAATTTCGATATCATAATCTATCACATTACACACGCATGCGATAATGTAAAGTAAAATTATTTACACGGCTTATTATGTTCCGTTCTAAAAGTGAACGATAGTTTTTTAAATCTTAGCAAAGAGTTTTTATGTCAGAAAGGTAGCCAATATTTTCTTAATAAAAGCAACTTTGGGAGATAAAATAAAAAAATGGTTGCCTGTAAAGTCGGTTTTACGGGCGAAGATTTTACGTGACAACGTCTTTTTCTCGGTAGAATATTTATTGATATGAATATAATTAAATTGCACAATAGGAACAAGGAATTGAATGAAAATAAGAATTGCACAAATTTTAACTATAGAAATATATTTTGTTTACTAAAACATTGTACATGTAAACTTAAACTTAACACGAGAGACTCATCGTAACGTTACCGAGCGTTACACTTTTTCATAAGTGACTCCCAGCCGCAACCTAATTTAAGACGTTGTCACGTCAATAATATATAAACATTTAATTCTTTAATTTGATTCATTTTGACAATAAATTACAACCATGGATCGGTAACAAATTAACAATAATATTAATTTACTTTATTAGTAACACTGGCTGTTTTTTGTTCCTTTGCCTAAAAAAGCGTTGATACGCGCGCACCGCTAATCTGTGAAAAAGTTATTTCTTTTTCTCTCCGCTGCATTGTTTTTATTTGAAAATATTGTCAAGTAGTAACGAATTTATTAATTTGACACCGCCAGAAGTCGAAAAAGGCTACGCTAAGCCTCTTGCCCGAAAAATCCACGGATAGATACTTACAGTCAAGCGTATCAAAATTTCATCTTATGGAAAACAAACAAAGGTGCAAATTCATTTTCGGAAAGTACGTACGTAGGTAGTATCAGTTCCTCGCAAATGTGTTATATGACGTCGTATGATATACGTGCGGTTTGATAATTACAGCCTCTGCCTTCTTATAGCCCTCACTAGTGTTGCCGAACTATCGATATTAAAACTATCGACAGTTTACATCGAAAATCATGTACCCTATCGATAGGCCTATCGATAGAATCGATACTACCGATAGTATCGATATTATCGATAGCTCCGAACAAGGCAATACTATCGAATGAGTGCAATACTATCGATACTATCGATACTATTGTAGTTCGTTAATAACAAACTATTGATAGTATCGATACTATCGATAGTGTTGATTTTATCTGCAACAATACTATCGATAGTATCGACACTAGCGATTGTCCTAGACTAAAGTTTGTGATTGACTATAATACCTGAAAATTGTAAACAATACTATTGCAAATTGTTAAACTATCGATAATATGGTTGCAAATAAAATCGACAGTATCGATACTATCGATAGTTTATTATTAACAAACTACAATACTATCGATAGTATCGATAGTATTTAACTCATCCGATAGTATTGGCTTTTTCTGTGCTATCGATAGTATCGATACTATTGATAGTATCGATACTATCGATAAGCCGATCGATTGTCGATCCGAAGCCGATCGATTAATCATCGATAGTCGACTATCGATCGGCAACACTAGCCCTCACCTACGGCTCGGGCTAACAATATCTCCTCGGCTGTTATTCTTAACTTACCACACTTATATCATAATATACTATTACGTAATCAATGGGACTGCTATCGTTTAAAGCGATTCTGTAAAACAAAATATCACTTCCAAATTCGGTAGCTGCCATTTTAGACTTTAATTTGTGGTAATGCACTACGCCATTACACAGCATAATGTCAGAATAACTGCAGGAGTAGCCAGTAAAAGATATTTGACAATTGCCAAAAATCCAAATGAATGAGATCGTAAGTAAATAATGGGTATAGGCTCCGAATATGATTTTGTCCCATTCGGTGTCGAGACCCTTGGTCCGTGGGGTCCTAGCGCTATAAGGCTTTTTAAGGAAATAGCAAAAAGGTTGGTCGACTTCACAGGAGACCGAAGAGCTGGCAGCTACCTCGGACAAAGAATTAGTCTAGCTATTCAAAGGGGGAACGCTGCCAGTATCCTTGGAACCTTGCCTAAAGGGACTCCTTTTAATAATGTATTTTACTTAATATATATTGTAAGTAAAAAAATGTGTGCGTGTTCTAGTGTACACACGTAAGAAGTGAAACTTCTTTATGGCCTTATTTTTCGAAAAATGATCTACATGCAACTTTCCAGAAATTGGTTAAATAAAGTTAAATTAGATAAAGTTTAAACAAAAGGATTTTATTATCATAGACATGAATACAAATTACTGCCTATGAAACTGTTATGATTACACGGCTCAGAAATCTAAGGCACATGTTCCACCTCCGACGATGAACGATAAGCGAGTAGAAACTAGAAACGAATTGGCAGTCCTGAGTTAAAATGCACGCGCACGGCTTTTGACAGCCAAGCCAGCTTAACCGAGCGAGTATAGCTGAGCGAGTATCGCTGAGCTAGTATCGCTGAGCGAGTATCGCTGAGCGAGAATCGCTGAGCGAGTATCGCTGGGCGAATATCGCTGAGCGAGTATCGCTGAGCGAGTATCGCTGAGCGAGTATCGCTGAGCGAGTATCGCTATGCGAGTTTGGCTGAGCGAGTCTTATCTTTAATAACTATTGTCACTCAGCTACAAACGAGTAGAGAGAGTTCTCGCCGGCGACAGTGTGATCATTCAGCTATCAACTATTAATATAAAAAAAGATGGCGCGTAACGGAAAAATGTGACGCGCAACCGAAAAATGTGACGGTAAATTTTTTTCCAACGTCGATAAAGAAGTTTCACTTCAATTACATGTTACAATATCAGGAAATCACAAAAAAACAAGCAGCAAACCAGCTAATTACGTAAATTGCTTTGAGGTAAACACTTCATGAAATGATGAAACTTTTGTCTTCCAAAAATTTACGTACCGTCTAGTATTTATCTCTATGGATTTGACGACCTCCGAGGCCGAGTGGTTTGTACGCCGGGTTTCATGGAGTCGCCGACTCGAGACGTCCCGGTGGGGGCAGATGTTTGTGTGATGAATACGAGCATTTGTACTCCAGTCATGGATGATTAATATGTATTTCTATAAAAATACTTATATATGTACAGTATATGTATTCTATCCGTTACCGTAGTATTCCATAACACAAGCCTTTATAGTGCTTACTTTGGGGCTGGGCTAATTGTGTTTTTTTTTTAAAACTACGATTTCTTTTTAAAGGTATTGTTTACGGTAATTTTTCGCACACTTTAGGGTAATTTACTATTTTTAAATATAGGGAGCATTGCAAAACACACCTGTATCCTAAAATAATGCCATCTTACAGGACACAACACAAAGTTTTCCAATGAAACGTCATTAATGTCAAAATGCAGAATTAAAAAAATAAATATTTTTTAAGAAGTTTTACAATGTGTCGCCATTTTAGACTCTCAGATCATGAAATAGCTAAATAAAATGATGTAGGGATTTTTATAAGAAAACTAGCTGAGCCAGCGAACTTCGTATCGCCATAAATATATGGGCGGTAGAAGATTGAAAATCTAGGGTTGTATGTATTTTTGTATGATGTATCTTAAAAAAAAAACGCAAAAAAATTTGTCAATAAAAATAATGGTGGTCCACCCTTAACATTAAGGGGGATGAACAATACATGTTGACCGATTCTCAGACCTATTTAATATGCATATAAAATTTCACGAAAATCGGTTGAGCCATTTCCGGAGGAGTTCAATTACGCACTACGTGACACGAGAATCTATACACAGTCAGGTCATAAGTATTGTCATACAGTCAAAACTTTTCTTTTAGAATGCTGGCCACAAAAAAGTTTATTGAATTCCAATTTCGAATTGTTCATGAAAATAAAAATTTATACTTTTTAGAATTTTACTCATTTCTAAATATGGAGTGGACGCTTAAAGAAGACTGAGTTGCAGTTATTGCGTTGCATCGTTGCGGATACGCGCCAATTAAAATTTTTGACATACTGAAAAATTTTAATATAACCAAAAGATTCGTTTATCGTACCATCAAACGATACGATGAAAACTCTAGTGTAGATGACAGGTCAAGAAGTGGTCCCCATAATGAATAAACTTGTTCTTCTACCCCGAAGCGAAGCGAGGGCGGGCCACTAGTTTTATATATTAGAGATGTAATATTTTACGAAGAATACAAGACCATGGTAAATTCATGTCAAGCGAGCAAAGTGATGAATTTGATGGTCTGGCTAAATAAACGATCAGGAGAAGACTTGTGCAATAATTAAAAAGCGGCCAAGTGCGAATCGGACTTGCCCATGAAGGGTTCCGTAGTGGCAAGTAACATAATATAAAAGTTCTTGTAGTTCGTTGTAACAAGTGTATTTTTTTAATTGACGTATTAAAAAAAACTACTTACTAGATCTCGTTCAAACTAATTTTCGGTGAAAGCTTGTATGGTAATGTACATCCTATATTTTTTTAGTTTTATCATTCTCCTGTCTCTCGCGCAAACTATTCAGTTAAGAAAAATAATGGATGCGTGTAACTTAAGTACGCGCGTGAGAAGTTATACTTCTTTAGCATCATTAAAAATATTTTTTAATTGCATGCAAATAATTAATAATTACAATAAAATAATAAAAGGACTGGAAAAGGATAGTTAACACAGTCAATTAAGTTCAGTTTTAATGTGAAAAATT